CATCAGCATCACCATCAGCATAAGCATCATCAGCATCATCAGCATCATCATCGTAATCGTCAACATCACCAGCGTCAGTATCATCATCATCATCAGCATCATCATCATCAGCATCATCATCAATCTCATCCGCATCGTCGTCGTCGTCATAATCACCACCGTCATCATCATCAACATCATCATCATCATCATCATCATCATCATCATGTATATAGATCTCCTGATGGTATGTATATCCCTCCTCCTCATCATCATCATCTTCCTCCTCCTTCTCCACCTCCTCCTCATGTCCTCATGTTCTCCTCATTCAGCCGTCCTCTTCCTCCTCCTCCTCCTCCTCCTTCTCCCCCTCCTCCTCCTCCTCCTCCTCGTCCTTTCATCCTCTCCTCCTTTCCTCCTTGCCTCCTCCTCCTCCTCCTCCTCCTCCTCCTTCTACTCCTCCTCATCCTCTTCCTCCCTCCTCCTCCCTGCTTTCGCGTCCGACTTCGGGGCACCCGCTGTGGGCGGGTTCGTGGCATCAGCACGTCTGTCATTTTACTCTGGGGTCGAAGCCTGGGGTGGAGTGGTCTGTTCGAGCTGGCGGGGGCGGCAGCCGCGCTGGGGCAGCAGCGGCAACAACACATAAAGGGGGAGCAGAGGAGCGCAGAGGCCGACAGAAAGAAGACGCGACAGGCGCGCGGCGCGCGCGAGGCGCAGGACCACCGAGAGGGGCCCGCTTGCGGTCCTCGAGCTGCTCGCCGTTTTGCAGCGCCCGCAGCCTCGAGCAGCCCTGCTCGCGCAGCTCGTCGGCCAGCGCGCCGCAGGCGTCGTGCTGCACCGACTCCCAGGCGCCGCGCAGGCTGACGACGCGCCCCTCGTTGAGGGAAGAGACGAGCCTGCGCTTCGCGCGCGGGCACTCCCTCTCCCAATCCCTCTCCTCCCGCTGCTGTTGCTTCCTGCAACTGATCGTACCGTTCCTTCTCCTCCTCCTCCTCCTCCTCCTCCTCCGCCTCCTCATCCCCTTCCTCCTCCTCTTCCTCCTCCTATTCCTCCGCCTCCACTCCTCCTCCTCCTCCTCCTCCTCCTCCTCTTCCTCCTCCTCCTCTTCCTCCTCCTCCTCTTCCTTTTCTTCCTCCAACTCCTCTTCCTCTCCGTCGTCGTCGTCCTCCTCCTCCTCCTCCTCCTCTCCTCCTCCTCTCTCATCATCATCATCATCATCATCATCATCATCATCATCATCATCATCATCATCATCATCATCATCATCGTCGTCATTATCATCATCATCCTCAGCATCATCATCATCATCATCATCATCAGCAGCAGGATCATCATCAGCATCATCATAATCACCACCATCATCATCAGCAGCATCATCAGCATCACCATCACCTTCAACATCATCATCATCATCCTCCTCCTCCTCCTCCTCATCATCATCATCATCATCACCATCACCATCACCATCACCATCACCATCACCATCACCATCACCACCGTCATCATCATCACCATCACCACTATCATCACCATCATCATCAGCATCATCATCAGCATCATCATCAGCATCAGCATCACCGTCATCATCATCACCTCCTCATCGCCATCATCAACATCAGCATCATAAGCGTCACCACCACCACAATCATCATCATCATCATCACAATCATCACCTCAAAAATAATGATCCTCCTCCTCCTCCTCATCGTCATCATCATCATCATCATCATCATCGTCATCATCCTCGCCATCATCATCATCATCATCATCATCATCATCATCATCATCATCATCATCACCATCACCATCACCATTACCATCATCATCAGCATCATCATCTCCAGCAGTATCATCATCAGCATCATCATCATCACCACCACCATCCTCATGCTCATCCTCATCCTCCTCCTCCTCCTCCTCCTCCTCCTCATCATCATCATCATCACATCACTGCGAGTGTGCGACGTCATCAGCGCGCAGTGCGTGCCACGCTCTGCGACGCAAGGGGCACTGGTGGAGATGCGTCTCCTGTTCCAAGGACGCCCTCGCCGCGGCTGGGCGGCGCCGGCGGCTTTGACGGGTGTCCTTGAGCGGCACTTCGCGCAGAGGCCTACAGGATGCACGTGAAGCTGAGGTGGACGCACCAAGTGGATCGCTGGGTGTGGACTGGGCATGGCACCCCCCCCAGAAGATGGTAACGGGCCACCCGCGAAACGCCTGCGACAGCACGCGCTCCTGATGGCGATCCTGAGCGGGGCCGCGCGCCCGCTGGCAGTCGCTGCTGCGGCCACATCGCGGGCGACGCGGTGCTGCCTGTCGCCTTTGGGTCCCGTGTGCAGCTGGCCGTGCACGGCCACCGAAGAGCATGTCGCCCTGCGCTGAAACGCAAACAGCTCGTGCATAGGCCCTGGGCAGCACGATGCCGCTTGCTCTACGACATATGTACCCAAGCTCTTTAACATGTCGCCGCGCCGTTTGTTCTGAACGCGCCCGATGTGACAACGCCGACACCGCGGCAAACCCACGGCAAGCTCTGCACCCCGCGCCCCAAGTAGACAAAGCCGGCACCGCGGCAAACCCCACCGCAAGCCCTGCGACCGATGCGAAATTTGCCTATTTGCCCTGGTGGCCGAGGCGGCCTCCCCAAGACGCAAGGCCGCGTGTCGGAACAGACGGGGCGGCGACACAGGCGCTGGGCAGCTGAGTGGCGAAGGGACCCTTCGCTTGAAAAGTGGCAGCCCTCCCGCAGCCGCGCAGGCCGACGCACGGCAGGCACCGCCCCCCGCACAGGAGACGAGCGCCGGAACCGCGTCTCTGCCCACCCACAGCCACGGCAGCGGCGGCGGAGGCGGGTGCGCCTCGCAGGCTGACGCGGGCACGCTGGGGCCGCCGAAGTCCCCGAAAGGGTGCAGCTGCGGGAAACGGCCCCCCGCACAGGAGGGGCAGAGGCCCTGCCAGCCGAGAGGCCTGCAGCTGCAGCCTGCGCACGGGCAGCTGGCCGCCGACCCGAAGACGGCGGCCCTCGGCCTCCGCCTCCACCCTGCCGCTGGGGGACAGGCAAGAGCTGCGGCGGCGGCGCCGAGTCGCCGTGTGTTTGAGCCGCCGGCGCCCGCGGGGTGGGCACAGTCCCGAGCGAATCCGCTGAAGATTGCTCTTCTATTTCCCCCCCCGTGACGTCCGTTGCGTGGGGGGGAGCCCCGTGGGGGGGTGACGATAATGTGGTCGGGCCCTGGGGCCCCCGGCGCCGGACGACGACGAGGACGAGGACCACAACGAGGACGAGGACGAGGGTGCGGTCGGCCCCCTCGAGCCTGGGCAAACGAGAGCGACGCTCCAGGCTTAAGAGCGCCGCTGGCCCCTCCTCCTCCTCCTCCTCCTTCCCCTGCGCCTCCCCCTGCGCCTCCCCTCGTGCGCATCTCCCTGCTAGTGCTCCTGAACTTCCTCCTCGCCCTCCTCACTATCTTCGTCCCCTCCTCGTCCTTCTGCTCCGTGCTTGGACCCACTGTGGTCTCACCCACTCCTCAAGGGGTGCATCGACGAGCCCTGCCAACCTCATCCTTACAATGAAAACACGAAAGCACATGCAACGTTAAAACTGCTGGCGATGTCCACATGTCTGCAAAAAAGGTTCAAAAATAAAGACTCACAACCCGTCGTAACGGAGGGAGAGCAGGGGGAATCAAGCTCAGTGGACCTTGCCTGGGTCGAAGACATGGTCACACGCCCGTCCAGGTTGCAGGAAGACTAACCAACGACCCTGGCATACGTTGGTTGGGAACGGCGCTGATCGGAATGGAACCCCTAACAGCAACCAGGGCGAAAACTGCGCCGACGGCTAAAAGCGTAAGTGTGGTCGAACAGCGGCGGCCCCATGGTAAGCAGACGCCGCAAGCACACTCCGCTGCACCCACGGGGATGGGAGGCAGACTGTGCGAATGTCAAGATGCATGCTCAAAAAAGGACCATAACCGATGCCAGGACAGGTCCGACCGAGCAGAATAAACAAGAATCTCGTCACACGTGGCGTTCGCCGCTGCCCGCGACACCCTCATGAAGTCTAGTAGTATCCGCGATCATGACTTACGACACACCTTTCCTCCTCGTGATCCTCCCCCCTATGCTCGTGAACAAGGTGGAGGAGAAGGGGCGAGTGGCAATCCATGCGGCAGAAATAGCAATGCCTGGCTCCGCACTGGCTGATCCGTCCAGGGACCGCAGCGGTCCGCACATGAGACGAGAAGGACGAAGAGGAGGAGGAGGAGGAGGAGAAGGAGGAGGAGGAGGACGACGAGGAGGAGGAGGAGGAGGAGAAGGAAAAGGATGAGGAGGAGGAGGAGGAGGAGGAGAGGGAGGAAGAGGAGGAGGAGGAGGAGGAGGAGGAGGAGAAGGAGGAGGAGGAGGAAGAGGAAGAGAGGAGGGGGAGGAGACGTCAGGCTACCACAGGCGCGCGCAAGCTAGCACAGAAGAGAAGCGGCTGACGGCATGCTGGAGCGGTGCCCGGAAGCAGCTCGTGCGCGACTTCGGGTCGCTGAGAGGTGTCACTGTCGACTCAGAAGTTCGGATCCTCTAAAATATAGATGTTTGAATCTCAGCTGCGGAGCGGTACTGCCTCTGCTATTGAGCTTTGATGCTTCGTTCGGGAAGTGGTATCTGCACATGTATCCTACGTCATTTGGGTCAAACCAGCACCCGGGAGGAGTTGGAACCCTGGATCTCCTGCTCGGGCAACTTCTCACCACCATTTCACCGACTGGTTGGCCGAAAAAGCGGTTGCGACCAGAAGCGCTCGCATCACATCGAACAGAACAGGAAGTGTGAGGTACCCTCGCACCGAGTAGGAAATCGAATTCCATAAGCAATCGAAACGTAATCGGAGCCGACCTGCAACACACACATATATATATATATATGTATATATATGTATATATATACACATTCATATATATATATATGAATATACAACTGTATACATACATACATATATCTATATATATATATATATATATATATATATATATCCGCCGACCCCCTCCAGGGGCGCAAGGCTGCGAAGGTGCGGGCGGTCTGCTATCATGTGTTATGTGTTGTCATTTGTGGCTTGGCCTTCTGTTCCTCCAGTCCTGTTTCTTGCCTCCTGTTTTCTGTTTGCTAGGGGGCCGCGCCGAGCCACCAAACAGCCAACGGCGGGGGTGAACCTCAAATCCTGGCTGCTCCAGGCCACCCCAGGATTCTCATTGTGACGCCACCGCGCGGCCAGAACGTCCCGAGAGGCCTCCAAGATTGCCCCAAGAGGCTCCGAAGAGGGCCTCAGGAGGCCAAGACGGCCCAAGATGGCCCCAAGATGTCCCACGATTGCCCCAAGATGGCCCAAGATGCTCCTAAGACGGCCCAAGATGCCTCCAAGAGACCTCCCAAAAGGGCCCCACGAAGCAAGAATCAACGATTGTCCCAACGTTTTCCAAGGTTTTTGGCCTTCTCGCCTTTTCGGCTTTCCGACGCTCCAAGACGGACCAAGAGATTCCCAAGATCGCCCCACGACGGCCCTAGAAGCCCCCATGACGGCCCAAGAGGCCCCCAAGACGGCTCCAAGACGGTCCAGGAGGCGCCCCAGACGGCCCAAAAGGGCCCTGAGACGGTTCCAAGATAAGGCCCAAGAGGGAGTCCACGAGCCGAAAACTCGGCCGTTCCGCCCCGAGAGGGCCTCAGGATGCCCCAAGATGGCCCCAAGAGGCCCCAAGAGGCCCCGAAGAGGCCCCGACGAGTCCCCAAGGAGACCCCCAAGAGGCCCCGAGGAGACCCCCGCGCAGCCGCCCGCACTAGTAATGGAGGGGCAGGCGGCGAGGGGCGAAGCCCTTAAGATACACACACACACACGATCGGAACGCTGAAGAGGGACAAAATGGGAAGAGGAAGGACGGATGCATGGTGCAAGCGGAGCAGCAGGAGAAGGCCGGGAGGGGATACCGAGCTAGTTCTACTCTATCAGATTCCGCTCGGCCATATGACTGCCTGTGGTGAAGATGATGTTTCCAAGTTCTAACCCGTCGTGTTATACCAGGGCGCCAAGGACGAGGAGGCAGGGGGGAAACATCGACCGTACCCTCAAACCCCGTTGACATGCACCTGCAGACCGGTAGAATGCATGACTCTCGAACGCCAGCGAAGGGCCTACAACGGCTGCATCATGACAGTAAAGATGCTTCTCGTGGACAACTTTTTACCCCAGGTCCCTGGACATCCAGCCGCTCCAAATTTTCTCGATGCGTGGGCCCCGCAGGTCCCCAGGGCCAGTCTTTCGTCATGAGCCATTTTTCACGGCCCAGAGGTCCAGCGAGGCCCAGGAGGCCGTAAACGGCTCAAAACCCGCCGCTCGAATTTTTGCTGGGGCGTCGGATCTCTGGGCCTTCCGGTGATCACAGCTGTTCTAGGTCGCCTAACTTCGCGCTCTCGCCCCGGGAGGCCGAAAACGGCCCAAAACCCGCCGCGCGAATTTGTTGTTGGAGCGTCGGATCTCTGGGCCTTCGGTGATCACAGCTGCTCTGGGTCGCCCCGCGATGCGCGCTTCTCTTCAACCCTCGCGCCGCCCACTGAAGGAAGGGCAGCTCTCGACTGCCACGGCGGTGACGCGCGAAACGCTGCTATCTTCGCGCCCCTGGGGGGGGGGACTTGGGCTGTACGGCCGGACCCGTCGGTCGGAAGGAGTGGGTAGAAACATGAAGCAGGAAGGCATTGAAAGTAGATTGGGCTTCCGCCCGCCCCCTGAGGACGAGGGAAGAGGGAAGACCACTCCACTCTTGAAGTAGTAAGGCGCCTAAAATAGATCGGGACTTGGGCATCCAACAGTACCTACTTTCAACAACCGAAAGGTACAGCCAAGACACTAAAATAAGGACCGCTTTGGGGTCGGAAGGGGCTCGCTGGTCCTTAGGTCGTTCCGTGGCTGTTCCTCTAGCCCTCCTCGTGCACCCAGGCTCTTCTGGGACCAACAAAAAAGGGCTCTATTGCTTATCTCGCGTTCAATATTGCAGCGGCCCGACTGTAGACCCAGACATCCGGCCGCTGCAATTTTGTCGATGCGTGGGCCCAGGAGGCCTGGACCATTTCCCCAGGGCCAGTCTTCCGTGCCGAGTCGTTATTCGACCGTCCCGAGGCCCGGCGAGGACCCCCAGAGGCCGAAGACGGCCCACAACCCGCCGCTCCAATTTCTGTTGGAGCGTCGGATCTCTGGGCTGGCTCTGTCCCTCCTTGGGCCAGGGGGCAGAGGAGGGACGGAGAGCAACGCAAGAGGTGGGCGGATTCTGCCCCAGGAAGCGCCGCCTGCGCGCCAGGGCCACCAGCGAGGCGCAGCTGAGCGGCCGCCCGCCCGCCGACTTGGGGTTCGCGCGGCATTCCGCCAGGAGCCTCGCGCTGAGCTCCTCGAGGAGGAGGAGGAGGAGGAGGAGGAGGAGGAGGAGGAGGAGGAGGAGGAGGAGGAGGAGGGGGAGGAGGACAAGCTAGGTGCGCTCGCGTCATATCAGACGT